ACCCGCACACCACCATCTGCACATCGCCGCGTGGTAACACCGACACCCCCCACTCGTTGGATGTCCGGGGACCCCTCATTAGTACTGAGGTCGACCATCGTGAGGTCTTAGTCAGTATAAGCCCAATATAACTTTACTTCTATAAAAGGAAGTATGGGTAAAGCAAATGCTTTACCCATACTTCCTTGGGGGGGGATGGGAAATCCCACACGATAAAAAACTAGTCCTCGCGGTAAACACAATGCATTACTTTCCAAAAACCACAAAATATTCTCACAGTTGTTTGTATTTTGTGCAGCCCGCTGGTGGTGGGCATGCTGTGGGAGGTGACGGACCTGGAGGTGGACAAGGCGGTGAGCGCGTTGCTGGCGCTGTGCGTGCCGCCACGTCCCCCGCCACCAGCACCCTGGCACGCCGTACCCAAGGACAACTGGAGCCAGGGCATCCTGGGTAATTACAACACAAACGCCCCCTGTAACCCCCAAATTGTGCCCACATGTAACGTATACGACTTAACTGCTGGCTCAATGAGTTTTGCTCAGTAAAGCTATATTGTAACTGAGTAATTGAGGCGTTGTTTAATCATAGTTTTTGCCCGCGTCTCCGGCACCGCATAATTACCAAAAATAATTAGGAAGTAGCCTATGTATTCTTCCAGACTTAGTTCTATATCTGCCATATTTCATTGAGAACCATTAAGCCACTCTGGAAATACCTTCTAACAAACATCCATCCATACATGTAAACTTTCATATTTATAATATTAGTAACCCACTTAAAAGGCAATTATATTTCAGAGGCGAAGGTGGAGAGCAGTGGTGAAGGTGGAGGTGGAGGTGGAGGTGGTGACGCGGTGTGGGAGCGCGAGGCGGAGGTGCTGGGGGCGGTGAGGGGCGCGCGCTCCCACACCGCCTTCACCATGATAGCCTGCAGCATCGTCGCACGAGGACTGCCTGTACTCGTTCACCAGCACAACACTGCGTACGTACCTTCACTTCACTCTGTCTGACACTTTGTCATTGTTCACGTTTGTGTCACCAGATGTCGCCTTCTCTAATGTACTTGTCGCCAACTAACATTGTGACTCGAGTCAAACTAACTTCGTGCTGGGAGTTTACAGTTTTCATTACAAATTTGAACATAATTTGTCGATTACGTTACGAAGGCGCGCTTCCCCAATATTTCTTGTAGGCTCTCTGTTCTTAAAATTTTATCATTTTATCAATAAGTGTTTTTCAGATTGTTTTATAGTTGTTTTTTTATTTATTTTAAGTATTCGTTTATTGTTTGTAGATGAGGATGCTGACAACAAGAGGATTACAATCTGTGATGAAATATAGATTTAATTATATGATGATAATGTAAGAACTTCAAACATTTCTTTTATTTCTGCTATAACTATAACTTATACAATCCAACAATCAAATACTTTGCTAACTTAATGTTATATTGAAAAAAGTGTGTCTGACAAGGACTAGGTGCACGTGCAATGAGCAGTGTGCATATTGTGTGCGGAGATATGCATGCAGGTGTGCGCGTGCATGTCTATGCATGTGCGAGCATGGCGCGGGGCGGGCGCGGGGAGTGCGGGGCGCGGCGGGCGCGGCGTGCGGGCGGCGGAGTGCGCGCCTTCGCCTCCGCGTGACGCTGCAGCACCTGACGGACAGACGGACAGACAGATGTATACATTTCTGATATCATCGCAACAAGGTTTAACTGCAATGGATTTACTTCGTCCATCTTGATGAGGTCGACCGTCTCCCGCAGCCGGTGCTCGAGGCTGGTGAGGTAGAGACGCGCGCTGCTCGCGGACGCGTCCAGCGCCCCGCCCACCAGCTTCAGCAGTGGCAGCGACTCGCACTCGCACGACCTGCACGACACGATTTTATTTCATACGAAGACCTCAATCCAACCGAACATCGCCCTACAAAAAGCAGTTTTCTAAGCTCCAAGTATAGATGTGTAAGCACTAACTGCGCCAGTTCGCGCACTCGGCGCAGCAAGGTGTCGAGCGCGTGCTCGCTGGTGGCGCAGTGCAGCTGAGCGCGCTCCCGGGCCGCGCGCAGCTGCGCCAGCTCCCCGCGCAGCGCCTCCACGCTGTCCTGCTGCTTGTACATCCTCGCCTCGTGCTTCGCTTTCTCGTCGTCTGATACAATAAAGTATAAGTAGATACATTTCGTATTTGAGAGTTCCGACCGATTAAAATACAACTATATGATGGGACATATTTGCGTGCTGACCGATGGCGTCATTGAGTTGGTTGACGCTGTCAGCGAGCGCGGTGAGCTCGGCGTGCAGCTCGTTGACGTAGTTGAAGAGTGCGTAGTTCTCCTCCTCCCGCCGCGTGAACTCCTGCCGCAGCCGACACAGCTCCTGCTCCCCGGTGAACTCCTGCACAACCCAAACCTCTTAATGCAGCACTTGTGTGATACACCTGTTTAGTTAAAGTTTCCCATTCAAATCTATCTCATATACAGATAGCGCCATCTAGTGGTCACATACTAGTAAAACACCACAAAATCCACCTTTAATATAACGATACAGCAATGTACAGTTGTGGTGACCTTGATAGCATCGAGGATGTTGAGGTGGTTGTTGTATGCGTGCGCCTCGAGCTCGCTGCGGTGCTGGCGGCGCGCCTCCGCCCGCGCGTCCGCCGCCGTCAGCCGCACCGTTCCCTTCGTGCGCAGGAACTGCTCCAGCTTCACGCTGTGTTCCAGCTGACGCTGCAGCTCGCGCACCTCCTGGCACGACACGACACAACCACGCTCATTGTTACTCATTGCTCAAGCTCATGTGGCATGTGGCATAGATGCAACAAAAATGTCGCTGCTATTTCCTTATGACAGGGGCTATTTTAAAATCGTCTAAATTACACATTTATTTATTTAAAAAGACAAAAGCCAAATTGTAAGTGGCCATATTGTATTTAAGTTAAATTGAACATATGCGCTCACGAGGCAGTGCTTCCTGTACTGCTGCGCGGCCTGTTCGCGTAGCGCGTGCAGCCGCGCGCAGCTCTCCTCTCGTAGCTCGTGCGCGCCAATAGCTTGCTCGACCAGCTCCAGCAGCTGCGCCTTGCCCGCCATCAGCCGTCGCAGCTGCTTCCGCCACATCGTGTTGAAGAACTGACTGACAATGTTCAATATTGTACGTTAATATTTTGAGGCAAAAACTTCTCTATTATCACAAATATATGACATAATGAAAGTTTTCGACAAAGGCAGTAAAACGAATAAAACTAAACTAAGTCATGTGTCAAAGTTGTAGTAATAATAACAATGGTTGTAGTTGATTAGCAGTACACTTGCCACGTCTGGCAGATAAGTCTTCTTACCCCCGACGTGCCAGTTCAATTCAAATACTTGTGTTAGTTTCTACTTAAGCAATATGGTGTACTCACCGATCCCGCAGCAAACAGTCGATCTGCAGCCGCATGGTGTAGTTGTCGCTGTTGGCCGCGTTGAACTTCTTCATAGCTGTGTCCAGCCGGTTCTCCAGCTGCGCCACCATACTCTGGTTCGTCAGCTCTGAAGCACATTCCTTTAACATTGTTACACATTATTTAAATATGTTTCATGACGTCGGTTCTTGATATCATAAATACGAGGAGATAGGAAAAAAAAATTACAATGTTTCCTTAGAACTCAAAACTAAACAAAAGCACTTTTTCTACTACGTCTACTAATATGATTAATGAAAATTACAAAATGAACTTTGAAAATCGCTTCGTAAAAGAATAATTTGAATTTTGTATTAAAAAAATGAACAAAAAGCCAACATCACGCGGTGTTCCCAGGCGGTCACCCATCCAAGTACTGACCGCGCCCGACGTTGCTTAACTTCGGTGATCGGACGAGAACCGGTGTGTTCAACGTGGTATGGACGTTGG